GTTGTTCTTGCAGGTCGGTGAGTGTTCCTATGATCCACAGAGGAAATTCCTCTTCTGTCATTTTGGTTGCCTGATTTTGGTTGGTGCCCATTTCTAGGGGGCTGGTGCTCCTCTTTGGGGGTGTGTTTTCCCTTTGGTTCTTCATATTTCATGAGTTCGTTTGCTGATTTCTTCCCATGTCGATCAGTTGTTGTTTCTTTTCTTTAGGTTTTTGTTTGGGTATTCACACGCCTTGTTTAGTTTCTGAGCTGGTGTCTGTGGGTGAGATTCAACTACTCCGTTTATAATGAGACAATAGGTGTCGTGAAAAGGCTGTGCAGGATGCTCTCCCTGTCAGTAGGTGGCGCTTGCTGGGAGGAACAGACTACGCTGTTGTTTTTATGTCCTGTTATCCGCTCTTGTTTCTGTAGAGAGAACTCTAGTGCCTCACGTGGTGGGTGGGGCCCTGAACTTCCAGGTGTGTCCTTTTCTCCCCCTCAGTGAGGGCTGGTCTAGGAGAGAGTCTTGGTGGAGCTGGGTTGGGTAAGCCTGCCCTCAGGCACAACCAATGCTGTTAGCAGGGGTCAAAGTTCTGTTCTCTGCTTCCAGGCAAATCTGACAGGGAGGGGTTGGAATGGCCCTGCTCAGTCAGAGAGTCTGCTTGTGGGGGTGGGGCTGTCTGAGACCTGCAGTCTGGAGTGGGCCTGGCCTCTTTCCACCCTCCCCAACTCTGGGGCTACTCCTGGGCCTCTGCCAGCAGGCCAGACCACACTCCACCAGGCCTTCCCTGGCTGTGCTGCCGGCGGGGAGGTTCCCTGTGCAGGAACGCCACCTTGGCTGGGTGCACAGCCTCCCTTTGGGGGGAGGGTTGCCCTCTAGGACGCTGATCTGCCCCTGAAGGCACACACACCTCAGTTGGCTGTTCACTAATATCCCTTCTGTGCCCCAGGCAATGTGAGGCCTCCGTGCACAGGATGTGGTCTGCAGGTCTGACCTCTGGGTCCCAGAGTTCAAACTATATCCCCACCAGGGAGAGGAGTGCCAGTCCCAATTCACCCACAGGGAGCCCACGCTGGGTCTATGTCTCTCCACCTCAGGGTCTGCCCCACCTCCAGGGATCGCCTTGCCAGCAGCACCTGGGAGGGCTGGCGGGCAGGGAGCTCACAGTCTGAGTACCCCTTAGTCAGCTGTAGGGCCCCAAAAGGGAAGGTCCCGTTCCCTGTAGGTGCCTCCGGCTGTTGGCTATATTGTCTCTCTGGGCAGTCTCGGGTAGGGTCGGGGAAGCGGAGGAGGAGGCAATATGGCGTCTGCCGCGAGGTACAGGTCTGTGCACACAGAGCTGCCCTGAGGGAGTTGGGAGCCTGGTGCCGTGTCCGCTACTGGCTTAGCACTCACTGGCAGCGGCCATCACTGGGCTGGTGTCCACAGGTCTCTCCACTCACTGCGAGCCCACCAGCAGTCCAGGATGCAGGGGAGGGAAAATGGCCGATCCACCTACAGTTCCCACTGGTCTCCGTGCTGCTCTGGGGGTCTCAGCTTCCAGTTCTCCTCCGTGACCTCCTCCTGTGGAGTCTCTTGTGGTCTCAGGTACTCCTCCTTCCGACCCTCATCTGATGTAGGCTCGTCTTCTTGCTTCTTTCTTCTAATTTCTGCTAGAATCTGTCTTTTCTGCAGAGACACTCTGTCTGGCGGTGTTTCTCATCCGCCATCTTCTCTACCCCCCTCCGACATTTCTTTTAAATTTCTTGGTTAGCCTATGTTAATGATAAACTATGTGCATCTAAAGATGGTTCCTATCTTTACCAGGCAAATCAGTCAGGCCTCGCCTTTTCCTTTTTTCTCATGAGTGTGTGCCACAGTCATCACATAGTCCCAAATGTTGTCTATGGCCACAGACAGCCATCATGTTCAATAATTATCTATGATTCTTTTCGCTACTATCCCCAGGGAAAAGGTTTTCTCTGGGCTATTATCTTATGGAACTGGCAAGGGGAAGACCATACACCCTGAAAGTGTATGGTCCTCATCATGACAGCTCATGACGAGGAGCTGCCTATGTTTTAGAGGGAGCCAGGTGATAAGGGGCAGAGACCTCATCCAGGCATGGCTTAAAGAAAAGAAGTTATGGTAATTATGGCATCAGGAAGGACAATTAACTTCTAGGCATGTTGCTACATTGAAGATGACTACCCAGGAGTAGAGTGATACTGGAGGAAAAAGCAGTTCATTTTCTTCTGGCTCATGTTCAGCAACCAGGGTGTCCAGATACTCGATGACAGGAAGTTTTAGTCCAAGAGACAGGAGTTATATGGGATCTGTATTGTGTACTTACCTGATAGCAACAAAGTCCCCACCAAAACATTCCTTTACAAAGATTATATAATGTTTTCCCTTGTTTTCTGCATTCCTTAGTGGAGAAGAGAAGAAATGCTACAAAATAATAAACTAAAATGGAAAACTTTTCCCCCTAATATTTCACTTTTATTTTAGTCTCAAGGAAATTGTTATTCATGACTGTAGTGTGGCAACGCTGTAGATGTTCGAAAGTTTGCAATATTGAAAATCAAAGGGCCAGTATTTTGGTTTTACCAGCCCATTGTGTATATTTGTATAAGATTATGAACTTGCTGAATTTCAATTTCTCCTCCCCTCTTCTGTTACTTGAGAGACAAAAGGAGAAAGAGAAGGTAAAGAAAGATCAATATAAAAATGGGCAAGTGAAGAAAAAGGCCCTTGAGAAGGGAGGAAAGAAGACATGTGCAATGGATTAAATGCTTATATCTTCCCAAAATTCATTTGTTGGAATCCTAACCTTCCAGATGACGGTATTAGGAGATGGGGACTTCTGGGAGTTATTGGTTTAGAAAGAAAGAACCCTCATGACTGGGATTAATGCCCTTGTAAAAGAGACACCAGAAGGCTAGCCAGCCCCTTTTACCATGTGAGGACATAGCAAGAAACCACCACCTGTGAGTCAGAAAGCTGGCCCTCTGTATGCAGAGAATCGGCCCTGATCTTGGACTTCTCAGCCTCCAGAACTGTGAGAAATAAAGTTTTGTTCTTTAAAAGCTACCCAGTTTGTGGTATTTTGTGATAGCAGCACAAATGGTCTAAGACAACATGATAGGTACTAGAAATGAAGATAAAGCGGTAGTGATGACTGTGGCACACACTCATGAGAAACAAGGCAAGGGCGAGGCCTGACTGATTTGCCTGGTAAAGATAGGAACCACCTTTAGATGCACATAGTTTATCATTAACATACAAATAAAAGAAGGAAAAACAAAGGGGCCAACTCCTTGGGTCCTCGTCCCACACACCAAAAGGGGTGGCGCTGAAACAAAAGGGCCAGATGACTACAACACTGTTGTGGGGCATCCCCTTGGTGAGGAGTGAGCTCTAGACCACAGCTAAGTCTCACTGTATTCTGTCTGCAGCTCTGTCCTGAAGGGTGTGGAGCAGAGAGCCTCATGCTCCATCAAAACCTGGGAGGCAACAAGTACCATCTCATAACACCTCCCAAGTCATATCAGAGAGTGACAGGTGGTGTTGAGGCAGGTCCTAATAAGCCTCCTATCCTTGCACATTCCAGCAGGATCGAAAGGCATCCTTCCAAGGCTCAGAATAACTGTGATTCAAGCCTTTGTTTGCATGACCTGTTACAATACTCCAGAATGCTGTGATGGAGTGGTTTCCCTACACTGACATGACACCTGGAGAGAGATTTTATAGCCAGAAATGGGCATGGTGAAGTTAGGGAATCTATAGAAGTGAAGGGAGTAAAAACAGGATGAAGAAGAGAGGAAATATTAAGAATTGACAGTGACAGGCATGGTAATGTTTAAATGTCTTATGGAGTGATCTACCTCCTCTTAAGCTAATTTATTTCTCTCTCTGCCTCTCCCTCTCCTTTTCCCTGTCATAGATACCACATAGTCACACTGTGACCTACTGCAGTGGCTTAGTTGTGTGTAGAAGAGGGAGTGGCCTGGGAAAATCGTTATTTTTACAAATCATGAAGTGACTCTTTTCAATTTAGAAAGCACATTAAGCATCTCTCCCTCAGTTCTCCCTGGAGTCCCCATCTTTCCCCAGCAGCCTGCTGAATGCCCTCTTCACCTCCTTGTTCCTCAGGGTGTATATGAGAGGGTTAAGAGAAGGAGCACCCACTGCATAGAAGAGACCAAAGAACTTGCCCCTCTCTTGGGCATAGGGATTTTTGGGCTGCAGGTAGACAGCAATGACTGAGCTGTAGAAGAGGATGACAATGGTGAGATGGGAAGAGCAGGTTCCAAAAGCTTCCCTCCTCCCTTTTGCAGAATTAATCCTCAGCACTGCCTGGGCAATGGCGACATAAGAGGCAAGGATGAGGCTGAGGGGCACAATCAAGATCAGGACACTGGCAACAGCCATCTGGATCTCATTGTAGGATGTGTCCCTGCAGGAGAGTTGGATTAGAGAAGGGACCTCACAGACAAAATCATCCACTTGCCGGTCGGGGCAGAAGGGCAGGCGGAGGGTGGGTGGTGTCTGAACCACTGATTCCACCAGCCCAATGACCCAGGCCACAGATGCCAGCTGCCGGCACAGGCGGGGCTGGATGATGGTGGTGTAGTGGAGGGGCTGGCAGACAGCCACATAGCGGTCAAAGGCCATCACCAACAGGAGGATGCACTCAGTGGTCCCCAGGGACAGGAAGATGAAGAGCTGGACAGAGCAGCCCAGGAAGCTGATGGTCTTCTTTGGGCCCCAGAGGTTGACCAGCATCTGGGGGACACAGCTGGTGGTGAAGCAGAGGTCCAAGAAGGAGAGGTTGGAGAGGAAAAAGTACATTGGAGAGTGGAGCCTGGGGTCCAGCACAGACAGCGTGATGATGAGTGTGTTTCCCACAAGGGCCAGGAGGTAGGAAGTTGAGATGACCAGGAAGAGAATCTTTTCCAGCCCTGGGTGTTCAGAGAAGCCCAGAAGGAGGAAGCCCTCTGGGGAGCTTTGGTTGCCCATGGGCTGCTCTTGTCTAGACCTGGAGGGATGAGGCTGTCAGACCAGTGTGACTCAATGTGTTTTATCACAACTCACCCTGTTTGGTTGTGAGGTCACACTAAGGAGATGTTTCTCTTCTATCTCTGGTCACCCAGCCTCCCTCCCCAGGCACATCAGCAGCCAGCAGCTTCTCTTCTATTCCTGGTGGTCAAATCTGGGCTAGTGGGAGTGAGGAAACCACAGAAGTGCTGGACAATGGTTGGATCTTCACACAGGTGCTTTGACTTTCTGGTTGAGGGCAAACAAAGCTGATGTAAAATGTGGATCCATTAATTACTCTTTATTAACCCTACAATAAATTATTGAGCTCTGTTGTGAATACTGCAGCAGTGCTGAATATTCTATTAAGTATATCCAGAAAGAACTAGCAAAGAAGTTCTTTTGTTACAATTTCCCTATCATACATATCTATTAAGGGTTGTTTTCTACTCCAGGGCATAAATTTCCTAGAATTATTCATGGTTTATATATGTCATTCTTGTTTGTAGGGGAGCTAACCAGAGACAAATGCATAAATTAAGGAGGAAATATTTCCTTTGTGTGAAATTACTCCATCCACACAAAGATCATTTAGGTGATTTTCTGCTTTCCCCCTTTTTATTTTATTATTTATTTAGAGACAGAGTCTCATTGTTTCCCGGGCTAGAGTGCTGTGGCATCAGCCTAGCTCACAGCAACCTCAAACTCCTGGGCTCAGGCGATCTTCCTCCCTCAGCCTCCTGAGTAGCTGGGACTACAGGCATGTGCCACTATGCTCAAAGGACTTGTGGGAGATTCATCATGCACAGGAAGACACCACAACACACAGTCATCATACTAACCAAAATAATCACCAAAGAGGCCCTCCTATGAGCTGTAAGGTGAAAGAAGCAGGTAACCTACACAGGAAACCCCATCAGAATAATGGCAGACTTCTTAACTGAAACTTTATAGGCAAGAAGAGAGTGGGGCCCCAATCTCACTCTCCTCAAACAGAATAATTCCCAGCCTAGAAACTTGTACCCTCCAAAAAAAATCATAGACATCCCTGAGAGTGAAGAAGAAAATACACAAAGGTTGGATAAGCTATTTGAGGACATAATAAAGGAAAATTTTCCCAGGCCTTGCTAAAAATCTAGATATACAGGTACAAGAAGCTCAATATTTTTTAAAAAATTGAATTTCTATATACGAGCAGTGAACGATCCAAAAATGAAATTAGGGAAACAATTCCATTTACAGTAGCACAAAAATGCACAATAATAAATTTAACAAAAGAATTCAAGACCAATGTGATGGCTGATTTGGATGTCAACTTCACTGGGTTAAGGGATATCCAGATAGCTGGTAAAGCATCATTTATTCCCAAGCTTTAGCAGGCACTGAGCCCATACCTCCTCTGCAGAAAGGGCTACCCAGGTGGTTTGGCATGCTTGGTGATGCAAACTGTAACAGCTCTGGAAGTGAGAGGAGGCCTGGGAAGGCTTCCTGGAGGAGGTGGAGCTTGTGCTCAACCTTAGGGAGGGGGAGGGCTCAGTTGGGAGAGGACACAAGAAGAGCATTTCACTGAAGCAAAGAGAAATGCAAGTGCAGTGACGTGAGGTAGAAAAGCACAGGCAGCCACCCAATCTGACCAATGGGGCATGTTCACGTGAGGAGAAGCAGAACATGCACTGGGCCCAAAAACGTGGGGCTGAGTATTGAAAGCCTTGAATGCCAGCTTTTCCTAGAGAGAGGGGCACAGGAGATAGTTGCATCCTTGTAATCACCATCAATCTCTCCTACTGAGGCA